CGGGGCTCTCCGGCAGGCGTGGCACTCAGAGTCCTGGTGGACGTGACCCCCGTCCCCTGGCCAGCCACCACACTGTCCCTTTGTGATCTAGCTCGTGACCAAGACCATAGGGCTTGTTGCTCCCAAGTGAACCCAAGGGGAGATAAATATATTTTGACGCCCTTGCGCTGGGACACTGCTCTTCAGGGCATGTTCCCAGGTTTATCGGTCGCTCTTTGGGCCAGTTTCTCAGTAAACGTTAAAAAATAACCTGAAGAAAAGCTAGAGAATCCGTGCAGCCCGTCCAGCTCTGAGAGGCCAGCTCAGTGCAGCTCCCCATGAGCAGAAGCCGCGCCCCCGCCCCCCCACCCCCGTGCAGAAGAGCAGCTGAGCCTTGTCCTCCCATTACGGCCCCTGCGACGGGCTCAGACGCTGCAGGGACCAGATGTTTCCGATGGTTCCCCTCCCTCCTGAGCTGTCCGATTAGACTCAGGGACCATCCAGTGCCCCACAGATCAGAGCTGCTGAGAAAGCAAAAAGGCTCTAGTGTTTCTGGCTTGCACATGTCGCCCGAGGTGGGGAGTCAGTGTCCAGCACAGAAGTAGGAGAAAGAAATCCAGCCTCGTGCAGACTGGATCCTAGACTGGCCAGTGTCAGACTCGGGAGCAGTGTTCTGACATCGGCAGGTTCCTCTGCACCCCGCATCTTGCCAGGGGGCTGGTCTTCTTTTTAGCTGTGATGACGTGGGGCCTCTCCCCGGGTAGGACCGCCCTAGCTGCCCATAGGGGAGACTTCCAGGCATGGCTCACACAAGTTGGGCGGACGCACAGGGGAGCGGCAGCCCTGGAGCTCCCAGGCGCCCTCTCAGTGGCCGAGCAAGGATGCCTAGGAGACCAGGCGTGTGGTCCATGTGGAGGGCACAGTGATGCTGTGTGCTGGCTCTGCCCATGGTGGTTGGTGCCCCCAGAGCTCAGACTGGCAATGACTTGCATAAATTTGAACACAGTTAAATTCACCCTTTGGCTTGAGGGCAGGCACCTTGCCCCAGCCCTCCCTTCTGAACAGAAGGAGCTCTGTTTGGTCAAAGGGCAACCCTGATGCCCTGGGCCCTCCTCCATGTCTCCCCACATCCCTCCAGCTCTCTGGCCCCTGGTGGCTTCAGCCGTGCTGCCCATTGGGCCTGGCCGGCTGGCAGTGGGGCCACTCCAAACCTGGACGGGGTTCCAGTCCCATGGCAACACATGGTCATAACTTACGTCCTGACGTGCGTTCTCTCTCCTCTCCTCCCCGCCTGTGTCCCCATCCGCCATCATTTCTGCGGCCCAGTGATTGGAAAGTACAGCCAGCACCCAGACTCAGGTGAGCCCCGAGCGCACGAGTCAGGCACGGTCATCTTTTTGTTGCACCCGATGGACATTTCCACAGAGACTCACAGACCTGTGGTTTCCCTCTCCTCTCTCTCCCCCACCTTGCACCCCAAGAGTTGCAGCTGAAGTTGGCCGTAGGTTGGACACGACACGCATCCATTTGTCCTCTCTGCCCCTCTTGCCTCTCCAAAGCCCGCTCGCCCCCGTCCAAGCCCAGCCTGCACGCTGCGCTCGTCCCTCCCCTGGCACCAGCGGTCAGCAGCCCAGCGGCGCCTGCGCTGGGACACAGGGTCTCAGGGACAGCCCCAGGCCAGATCACAAAGCCCTGGGAGGGCGGGAGGCCGGGCTGACCGCGCTGCCAGGGGACGCAGCCGCCCCTGCTTGTGCATCACGCAAGCTCGCTGCTCTGGGCCACAGGGACGGCACAGCGCTCCCCGCACGTGACGCTGCTGCTCGCGCGTGCCTGGCCCGATCCCAGCCTAGGCTGTCAGGGCCTCCGCGGTGAGAGCCAGGGCTCCTGGTGCAGCCTTGCAGGGTCCTGAGCTGCACCCCAGGTGTACGACACCCCGACGGCTTGCCCTGCTCTGCCTCGTGTCCCGGGTGTGAGGTCAGACCTGGTGCCACCTGTCAGATGCTTGAGTCGGTCGAGCACTTTCCCTCCAGCCCCATCAGTCTTTCCCTTCGGAGTATCTGAGTTTTCCTTCTCCTCAGTCAAGCCTGAGATACCCTGGCCCGTGGATTGGACCGGTCAGGCCAGAGGCCGGGATGGTCAGCCTCTCTGGAGCCACAGTCCTTTCTGCAGAGCTGACTTGGGAGGCTGGAGGGGAGGGCGTTGCTGTCATGTTGGGGAGCCCTCTCTCCCTCCCTGGTGGCTGCTCTAGGCCTGCAGCTTTCTGGCAGAGTCAGCCTGAGCCCGGAGTCCTAGACCCATAGGGACTCCCAGGAACCCGACACAGGCTCCTGCCAAGAGGGCTCTGACCTCCCGCACCTGGATGTGCTGCCGCGTCGCCAGAGGGAAGTGGGCACCTGGTCTGCACCTTGAACCGGGCAGAGGGGAGGAGGGGAGACCCTTTGTTGGGCCCCAGGCTGCCCTCCTCCCTCCTCCCCACTCCCACCACCCGGCATCCTCCCTCCCCTCCGCCCCCTCACCCCCTCTGGTTCTCCCCCAGGCATGAGTGACAGTGTCAAGGACAAGTTCTCCATCACTTTCTCCATCGTGGGCATGTTCGCCTCCCACGCGGTGGGAAGCCTCAGCGTGTTCTTTTGTGCAGAGATCACCCCCACGGTAATAAGGTATGTGGCGGAGCCGTCTCCGGAGGACACAGTAGGGATGTGGGGCGGACTGCCATGTAGCAGGGCTGCCGGTGAGTGAACCACCAGGGTCTGACCCACAATGGCCTCCGGACAAGGTGCGGCCATGCTGGGCATGTCAGCTTCCAGCCGGGGGTTCCGCTCTGACCACCAAGGTGACCGAGTCAGGTGAGAGCTGGGCCCTGCGTCTGTCCAGGCGGCTGGAGGAGCGGGGAGCAGGGACCTCTGGTGGCACAAGGAACACAGCAGGGCCTGGAAGAGGAGGGAGGTCAGGAAGTCACTTAACTTATGTGTGCGCTTCAGTCGAAATCAAATGTCCACTTTCGCAGGAGAACTCAGTAAAGAGTCTGTCTCAGGATTAAAAGTGGGGTAGAAGAGGCCTTGGTTTTCTACTGGCCTGAGAAGGTGACATCACTAGTCCAGAGAAAGCCCAGCAAGTGACACCCCAATTGGTCTGACAGACACTCGCTGAGCACAGCGTGTGCGGGGCGGAGGCCGAGTGCGCAGCCCGGCCCTCGCAGGGTCCGGGCTGTTCCATCTTTCTGGAAGGCGGGATTCACTTGCGCTTAGCTGCTTTGCTTCAGCCGTGAGGCAAGGCTGACTCTGCTGGGGGCCTTCTGGGCCTGTCCGGGCAGGGGTAGGCGGGCGTGCACGCTGTGTGGTGCTGTTGAGGTGACAGCGACATGGCAGGTCTTCTTGGATGTGAGGGGCCTCCCTTTGCTGCAGTCACGGCGTCTTCCTGGTGGTGACAGTTGTGGCTTTCTGACCAGCTCCCGACCTTGGCATGGGACTGTCATTTGCTTTTCCAGCATGCATGCTTTGTTTGAATATAATTGTGAGCGTGGCGGTAACTCAGCCGTGGATAAAGCCCAGAAGCCAGCAGGACGCCCCTCCAGCCTCCCTTCCCATGTGGGAGGCAAGTGGAGGCCAGGCCAGCTCAAGGCAGGACTCGGGATGCTGGTGTTCATGTGCTGAAAAGGATGATATGAAGATTCCACGATTCTTTTTTTTTCATTCTTTTGGGGGGGATGTGGGGTGGAGGTTGGTTTGTTTGTTTAATGGAGGGACTGGAGATTGAACCCAGGCCCTCGTGCAGGCTGAGCACATGCTCTCCCACTGAGCTGTACCCTCCCCACCGAAGATTCCAGAATTCTGAATTTAAGCTTGCTACTTGTAAGAAGTCTATCTTTCCCTCCTTAAAGTAATTTGGATATCATTACTAGTAGCATAAAGCCGGTCATACGAGGTGGACATTAAAACCTCTGTGCTTCTAAAGCGCCAGAGGCGACCAGGCCGGGTTCTTTCTCCTGTGACTCGGGGCACCGCCGTCCTCCTGTCTAAACGCGGGCGTCTGCCGCCCCCTCGTGGTGGCCTGGGGAAAAGCAGGTGTACAAGGTCAGCCCGTGCGGGAGAACCGAGAAGTCAGCACCCGGGAACCCAGCACGTGATGATCCCATGCTCTAAACTGAGGGGTTTTTTATTCTTAAAACGGCTTTATTGAGAAGTAACTGATAAACAAAGAACTGTACATACTAAGTTTGCACAATTTGATGAGTTAGGACACGTGCAGACACCTCAGATACCATCACCCAAGCGATGTCACAGGCACAGCCAGCATGTCCACAAGTTTCCCTCTGTTCCTTTGTTTTTTAAGCTTATGTATAATTGATATAAAAAAAAAACCCTGCACAAATTGGTGAGTTTGGATGTATCACATGCACCATGAAATTATCACCACAATCAACAGACAGCAACAAACGTTTCATTGTGTCCCTTTTTTAAACTGAGATTGCTAAACGCAACACAGAGCCAAAATGGAAGGCCAGATTCTGCCACAGCTGTTCCTCATTTTACTAATTTCAAGGTATCCTTGAAGGAAAACCAACAGAAAATTGCTTTCTTGGAAAAAAAAATGTAAAAATGTATTGCATATTACATATGCATGTACACAGACCGCATTTTACATGCGTGAGTTTATAGACGTGTAGGTACTTTTTACAAAGGGTCACCAAATCCTGCGTAAATCAGATACACGTCATCTCACGTGACGTGACCTGCTGACCTGCTGCGCCAACAGGACGCGGTTCACCTGGACTGGGAGGGAGGCCTGCCCCCTCACGGTGGGCCACGCCCCGCCTTCCCGAGCACTGGCCACGTGTGCACTCACACACGCCGCACAAGGGCGGCCCTCCCGGGCTCGTCGGCAGCACCGTCCGCACTTAGTGATGGGAAGGTCAGGCGGACCCCTGGGCGGCTTCCGGGAGATGATGTCTTACTGGTACCGAAGGCCCGTGAAACACGCCCGGCTTCCCAGCACCCGCGTGCCCCTTGCAGCGCTGGGTGTCTTCCGGGAGCGGCCAGACCCCCACAAGGCTGAGCAGCTGTTTTAGGGGCTCGTTTATTCATCTCCCAGGTGGGCTCAGTCACACTGCACTTGGTAACGGTCGTCATATTTAACCTGCTCCGTTCACCGGGCCAGTGGCCCTCTGCCAAGGAACCGGGGTGACCTGCACCCCAGTGTTCATTAGGCACAGTGTGTGATGAGGATGTCCCAGAGAACCCCTGCCTTGAAGGGCTCACAGACTAATACGGGTGGCAGGTGCAGGAGCAAACACCCACACAGGGGTGCAGAGTCTTTAGAAGGGTCTGGGACCCTCTGCCCAAGGCGGGGCTGGAGTCTGGGAGACACTCCCAACACCCTGCTTTTCCTCGTTGGTGTCCCCCGCGCCCGGCAGCCTGGGTGCGGCCGTCCCTGCAGCGCCTCCAGTCGCCCCTGGAGAGAGGCTTGGTGACTCGGTGCCGAGCACACGCACAGCCAGGCAAGGGCCACCGGCTTCCCTCCATGGTGGGGCTAGGAGTCCATTACTCGCCGAGGGTGTTCAGTCTCTGTTGTCATGTGACGAGTACCCAACACTTACTGGCTGAAAACACACGTTTGTCATCTCCCAGTGTCCAGGCAGGAGTTGGCTGGGCCTCAAGGGGGCTCCCACAGGCAGCAGGCAGCTGGGATGGGGTCAGCTCTGAGCCCGATCAGTAACTGGCAGGTGTCTGAACACCGACACTTACTTCTCACACTCCTGGAGACTGGACTTCCACGGTCAAGGCGTCGGCAGACTGGGGTGGTGGGGACCTACTTCCTGGGTCACAGACTGTGTCCTCCCATCATGGGAGGGGCAAGGGAGCTCTCTGGGGTCCCTTGTGTAGGAGCAGTAATCCCACCAACCTGACCTCATCGCCTCCCGAAGGCCCCGCCCTCCAACACCGTCACACTGGGGGTTAGAGCTCAACACGAACTGGGGGCGCAACAGTGACAGCAGCAGCCGAATCCAGGTCCCCACCAGCTGCTGGACTGAGGGCCTCAGTTCCTCGCTGGCTGTGGGCCAGAGGCCACCTCCGTTCCCGGCCACATGGACCCCAACAACACGGCCGTTTGCTTCATCAAAGCCAGCAAGAGAATCTGCTAGAAGTCAGTCTTTTGTGACCTAATCCCGGAAGGGACATCTCATTTCCTTTGCTGCATTTTTTGGTAGAAAGTCAGATACTAGGTGCAGCTCCCACTCAAGGCACCAGGGTTGGACACTGGGAGGCGGTGCCCCCTCGTGCCCAGTAAGTGCCCAGGGGCCAGCCAGGCCTCCGGGGAGACGCGAGGGGTGGCAGGCGGGGCCAGCCCTGAGAGACTCGGAGTCCATTAGAGACAGATGCGCGGACAGAGGAGGGCTGTAGCTCAGGTGTGCAGCTGGGCCTGGGCTCTGGACGGCTCCTTGGGGTGAGGGTTGGAGGGGCAGAGGTCCAGGAGGAGGGGTGCATGTGCACAAGGGGCAGCGGGAGGGCGCTCGGAGAGGATCCCCAGGAGAGAGGAGGGGCGCAGGGCTGAGGCGTCATCTGCAGGCCAGAGTGGGAGGAGGACATAGCTGTTGCCGCTTTGTGGGGCCAGTAGAGGAGGGAGAAAGGGCTCAGGAAACCAGGAGTAACAGCGCACACACCGCACTGTTTTGAACACTGTAGCTCTGTAGTATAGCCTGAAAGTTCAGGGAGTGTGATTCCTCCAGCTCTGTTCGTCTTTCTCAAGATCGCTTGGCTATCCAGGGTCTTCTGTTGTTCCCATGCAAATCTTAAAATTATTTCTTCTAGTTCTGTGAAAAATGCCATTGGCATTTTGACAGGGATTGCCCTGAATCTGTCAGCTGCCTTGGGTAGCGTGGTCATTTTAACAATTCTAATTCTTCCGGTCCAAGAACACGGTATATCCTTCCACCTGTTGGTGCCGTCGGCAGTTTCCTTCCTCGGGATCCTGCAGGTTTCCAGGTGTGGGTCTTCTGCCTCCTCGGCAGCTTTACTGCTAGGTAACTTACTCTTTTTGATGCAGTGGTAAAGGGAACTGTGTCCCTATTTTCTCTTTCTGGTCACTCGTTGTTAGTGTATAGAATTGAACGTAATTCTGTGTGTTAATTTTGTATCCTGCAACTTGACCGAATTCATCGAGGAAATTTAGTAGTTTTCTGGCGGCATCTTTAGAATCTCTTCTGTGCGGCACTGTGTCATCTGCAAACAGTGGCAGTTTCACTTCTTCCTTTCCAATTTAGATTCGCTTCTTTTTCTTCTCTGATTGCTGTGGCTAGGACTTACAGAAATAATAAAAGTGGCAAGAATATGGGCATCCTTGTCTTGTTTCTGATCTTAGAGAAAACGCTTTCAGCTTCTAACCACCGTGTATGATGCTAGTGTGGGTCTGTCATGACTTTATTATGTTGAGATGTTCCATTTTATGCTCACTTTCTGGAGAGTTTCGATCATAAATGGATGTTGGATTTTGTCAAAAGCTTTTTCTGTGTCTATGGAGATGATCCCGTGGTTTTTATTCTTCGTTATTATTGTGGTATATCACGTCGATTGATTTGCAGATACTGAAAAATTCCTAACATCCTGGGATCAGACCCACTTGACCACAGTGCGTGATCCTTTCAGTATTTTGTTGGATTTGGTCTGCTCATCCATTGCTGAGGATTTTCGCATCTATATTCATCAGTGATGCTGGCCTGTAATTTTCTTTTCTGTGATAACTTTATCTGGTTTTTGTATCAGGGTGATGCTGAGTTTAGAAGTGTTCCTTCCTCTACAATTTTTTGGAATAGTTTCAGAAAAACAGGCGTTAACCCTTCTCTAAATGTTTGGTAGAACTCACCTGTGAAGCCGTCTGGCCCCGGACTTCTGTTTGTGGGGAGTTTTTAAATTGCTGATTCAGTTTCGTTACTGGTACTTGGTCTGTTCATGTTTTCTGTCTCCTCTTGATTCAGTCTGGTGAGACTGCATGTTTCTAAGAATGTGTCCGTTCCTTCTAGGTTGTCCATTTAACTGGCATGTATTTGTGGTAGGCAGTTAGACCCTCTGTGTTTCCGTGGTGTCGGCTGTAACTTCTCTTTTTTCACTTCTGAGTTTATTGATTTGGGTCCTCTCCCTTTTTTCTTGATGAGTCTGGCTAAAAGTTTATCAATTTTGTTTATGTTTTCAAAGAACCAGCTTTTTAGTTTCTATTGATTTTTCTTTTTTTGGTCTCTATTTCATTTGTTTCTGCTCTGATCTTTATGATGTCTTTCCTCCTACTAACTTTGGGTTTTGTTTGTTCTTCTTTCTCTAGTCCCTTAGCTGTAAGGTTAGGTTGTCTATTTGAGATTTTTCTGGTTTCCTGAGGTCAGCTTGTATCACTACAAACCTCCCTGTTACAACCGCTTTTGCTGCATCCCATACTTTTTCTGTCATCGTGTTTTCATTTTCATTTGTCTCTAGGTATGTTTTGATTTCTTCTTTCATTTTCTAGTCTCACAGCATTGGGGTCAGAAAAGATGCTTGACTTGATTTCAATTTTGTTAAATTTACCTAGGCTTGTTTTGTGGCCCAGTGTGTGACCTGTCCTGGAGAATGTTCCCCGTGCACCTGAGAGAGTGTGTGTTCTGCTGCTTTTGGATGGAATGTTATATACATGTAATTAAGTCCATCTGTATTTCCTGACGTAAGGCCAGCGTTTCCGTATTGATTTTCCGTCTGGATGCTCTGTCCACTGACGTAGTGGGGTGTTAAGGCCCCACTATTACTGTGTCACTGTCGACTTCTCCTTTTATGCCTGCTGGTATTTGCCATATATATTTATGGGCATCTATGTTGGATGCGTACAGATTTACAATGGTTGTATCTTCTTCTTGGATTGATCCCTTGATCATTATGTAGTGTCCTTCTTTGTCTCTTGTGACAGTCTTCAATATAAAATCTATTCTGTCTAATACAAGTGTTGCTGCCCCAGCTTTCTTTTCATCTCCGTTTGCATGGAATACAGTTTTTCTATCCTTTTATTTTCAGACCATGTGTGTCTCTACATCTGAAGTGAGTCTTGCAGGCAGCAGATATGGATCTTGTTTTTGTATCCATCCAGCCAGTCTATGTCCTTTGGTTGGAGCATTTAGTCCATTTACATATAAGGTAATTACCACTATGTATGCTCTTGTTGCCATTTTTAAAAACTGTTTTGGGTTTGTTGTTGTAGGGTTTTTTCCCTTCCTTTGTTCTCTCTCGGGACTTGATGACGATCTTTAGTGTTATGGTTTGATTCCTTTTTCTTTTTTGTGTGTGTATCTGTTATCGAGTTTTGGTTTGTGGTACCACGAGGTTTTATATAGCAGGAGACACAGATATAAGTAAATAGATAGATAGATAGGCTTATTTTAAGTTGATAATCTCTTAATTTCAAATGCACTTTTAAAACCTTGCGTTTGTTCTCTCCTCCCTTCATGATTATCGTTTTTGTTAACATTTTTTGCATCTAATAATTTTGTGTATCCCTTAACTGCTGACTGTGGATACAGATGATTTTATTACTTTTGTCTTTTAACCTCTCTCCTTGCTTTGTGTGTGAATGACTTCCTGCCTTTACTGTCTGTGTGCCTTTAACATGAGAGCGGTGAGCTCTCCCATTTTGTAATTTTCTTGTTTCTAGTTGCGGCCTTTCAGAAAGCTTAGAGAAGTTCCTTTAGCGTTGTTGCAAAGCAGGTTTGGTGGTGAACTCCTTAAGCGTTTGCTTGTCTGTACAGCTTTTGACGTGGCCATCGAATCTGAGCGAGAGCCTCGCTGGGAAGAGTTCTCTTGGGTGCAGGTCCTTCCCTTTTATCACTGTACATACATCATGCCACTCCCATGCGGCCCGCAGAGTTTCTGCTGAAGAAAATCAGAGAGCCTGACGGAAGTGCCGCTGAACGTGATCTGTTGCTTTCCCCCGATGCTTTTAATTTTCTCTCTTTATGTTTAATTTTTGTCATTTAAATTTCAGTGTTCCTCTTTAGGCTAATCTTGTATGGGGCTCTCCTCACTTCTTGGACTTGGGTGACTGTTTCCTTCCCCAGATTAGAGGAGTTTTCAGCTATCATGTTTTCAGATATGTCCTCAGCCCCCCCCTTCCTGCTTCTGGGCCCCCGATAATGTGATTATTAGTGTGTGTGATGTTGTCCCAGAGGTCTCTTAAACTGTCCGTGTTTCTTTTCATTCTTTTTTTTTCTACTCAGGGACAGTAATTTCCACTTCTGTCTTCCAGCTCACTGGTGCGTTCCTCTGTATCATTCAGTCTACTGTTGATTCCTTCTAGTGTGTTTGTCACTACAATTACTGTATTCTTCATCTGTTTATTCTTCGTATTTTCTAACTCTTTGTTAAAAACTTCTAACATCTCGCTTGTGTATCCATCCTCCTCCCAAGTTCTTTGATCATCTTTACGACAACTACTCTGAGCTCTTTCTCCAGTAGACGGCCGTCTCCACGTCACTCAGTTCATCTGGGGTCTCAGCTCGTTCCTTGTCTGGAACATGTCCCTCTGCTGCCTCATTTTGTCTAAGTTGCCATCTGTATTTTTAATGTGTGTGGTAGATTAGTTACGTTTCCCAGCCTTGGAGAATTGACCTTCTGCAGGAGGCGTCCTATCGTCCCAGCGGTGCACTTCCCTCTTGTCACCCAAGTTATATGCTCTGGGGGTCCCCCAAGAGGGCCGGGCGGGCCCTCCTGTTGTGGTGGGCTGGCTGTGTGGGTGGTCTGGTAGCCTTGCTTGGGCCCTAACCCGGTTGGTTGCCAGGCCCTGCCTTGTGTGGATGCTGCTGGCTCTGTTTAGCAGGGCCTGGTCACAGGGCCACTGGTTGTGGAATCCTAGGGGGCCCAGGGCTAGTGCTGGCTCACTGGTGGGCAGAGTCAGGGTCCCAAAGACTCTGAGGCTGTTGCCCACCCAGTGGCAGGTGAAGCCAGGTCCTGGGGTGAATTCTGGACTACTGGCAGGCAGAGCTGGGTGCTGGAATCTGGCCACAGGGCCCAAGGGTCCAGAGCTGGTGTCAGATCTCTGTGCAGGGGTGGGGGGAGGCAGTTCCTGATACAGTCGGGTATGGGGTCCAAGGTGTCCCAAAGCTTGCACTGGGCTCCTAGTGAACAGGGCTGGGGCCCAGCTAGTCCCAGGGTAGGGTCTGGCCTGCTGTGGGCAGGCTGCGCCCAGTGAGCCCAGGATCGTGGTTTTCTTGCATCTGGTGTCTGTACCCTGGTGGGTGAGGCTGGTGTAGAGGAAGGCAGGGCCAGTGCCTGCCCGTTGGCGAGTGGAGCTAGGTCCCTCTGGCGGGCAGGCCTGCCTCTAGGAGTGTGTTTAGAGTTGGCTGTGGACTCAGGAAGTCCGTAGGCAGTCTGTCTGCTGACGGGTGGGGCTGTGTCCTTGCCTGGCTAGTTGTCTGGCCTGCGGCGTCCCAGCATTGGTGCCTACAGGCTGTTGGGTGAGGCCAGGTCTTAGCGCTAATGAGCTGGGGGAGGATCCTGCGATGGCGCTTGCCCACACCAGCATCCAGAGGTAGGAAACTCCCAAATGTGGTGCCGCCAGTGTCTGTGTCCCCGGGGTGAGCCACAGCCATCCCTCGCGTCTCCAGGACACCCTTCAAGACTAGCAGGTAAGTCTGGCCCAGATTCCCATGATGTTACTGCTTTTTTCCTGGGTCCTGGTACCCTGAGATTCTGTGCGCACCCTTTAAGAGTGAAGCCTCTGTTTGCCCCAGTCCTGTGGGGCTCCTGCAGTTAAGCCCCGCTGGCCGTCAAAGCCAAATGCTCTGAGGGCTCCTGTTCCCAGCACAGGACCCCCCAGGCTGCGGAGCTGACACGGGGCTCAGAACGCTCACTCCCGTACTTCCTGTGATGCAATTACTGTCCAGTTTGTGGGCTGCCCACTGGGGGCCTGGGACCTGATTATCTTGTAGTCCGCCCTCCTACCATCTCGTTGTGGGTCCTCTTTGTCCTCAGTTGTAGAGTTTTTCTGGTAGGCTTCGGTCTTTTTCATCGGTAGTGGTTCTGCAGACAGTTGTGATTTTGGCGTGCTCCTGAGAGGAGGCAAGCTCAGGGTCTTCCTCCCCTGCCGCCTTGATCTGCTGTGTCCTGAAAGCCGTCTTTAAGCCCTGGCCACCCTCCCCCCACGGCCCCCCTTCTGGATGAAAAGCAAGCCTTGGGGGAAAAGCATGAGTTGATAGTGCTTTGTTTCTCAGCACTGTCTATTTTTTATGCCGAGGGAGACGGGTCTTCCACTTAGAGTGGTACTTATTTAAAGTCTCCCTTCAGAACAAACGGAGTCAAGTGCTGGGCTGAGGAGACGCTGACTCAGCGTGGGTGGCGCAAAGGCAGGCCGCAAAGGAGGGAGGAGGGAGGGCGGCGGGCGGCAGGCGGAGCCAGGTGCCCGCTGTCTGGACCACCCGCTGACCCCCGCGCTCCGGCAGGTGCGGCGGGCTGGGGCTGGTGCTGGCCAGCGCGGGCTTCGGCATGTTGACGGCGCCCATCATCGAGCTGCACAACCAGAAGGGCTACTTCCTGCACCACATCATCTTTGCCTGCTGCACGCTCATCTGCATCATCTGCCTGCTGCTGCTGCCCGAGAGCCGGGACCAGAACCTGCCCGAGAGCATCGCTGACGGCGAGCACTACACGCGCCAGCCGCTCCTGCCGCCCCGGCGTGGGGAGCAGCCGCTCCTGCTCACCAACGCCGAGCTCAAGGACTACTCAGGGCTGCACGACGCGGCCACCGCAGGCGACGGGCTGCCAGATGGCGCCACAGCCAACGGCGGGCGGCCCATGTAGCCGGGCGGGCAGGCCCGGAGACCTGGCTCTGCTGCCGCTGGCGCTGGGACCCTCGCAGGCCTCGGAGGAGCGTGTGTTTGAGGAAGCTGACTTTGCAGACGACCCTTCAAGGACTTTCTTTTCTGCCATTAAACGTTTGTATTTATTTTGGTCATTTTTATGAGAAGCACTTTATTCCCTTCCCTTCACTGATCTCGATCGAAACGGAGCCGCCGCCTCGGGAAGAGGGATGCGGTGGCCGAGGAGCCGCTCTGAGGACCGCGCAGCCAGGCTCCCCCGAGGTCGGCCGCCGCCCCGAGCCAGCCGTGCCCCAGCGGCCGCTCACAGCGCCGACCGGCCGCCGTCCGAAGCTCCCCGCGGCTGCGCCTTAGCCACACCGAGATGGGAGCGGTCAGGGCTCTGCTAGAGTCTGTGGTTTCCCAAGGGTTTTTTCTGTAAGGTAAGAGCTGCTCCATGTGTTGGGGGAAAGCGGCTCACAGTGTCATTAAAACCAGCGTAGTCTTTCCCAAGATCATCCTTTTATACTTGATGCTGGAAGCTCTTTGGGGGAGAAGCTCAACCATGTCACCAGAAATCTTAAACGCAGTCTTCCAACGCAGGCGTGCCACTAAGCGCCTGCGAAGCTGGCGGAGCTGACGCATCTCGGGCCGAGACGAGTGACTGTTAAACACCCCCCAGGCCCACTGCAGCAGGAAGGCCCTCTCAGTCAGCTGTTCTGCCAGCACCACTTGAACACACGGCTATTTTCTGAACTAAAACCAGTAGGAAAATAACTAAACAGACGACTATGGCAGCCCCCCAGGAGGGAGGTGTGCTCCCAAACACGGCCCGTCAGCCTGTCCCAGCACCCGCCGCGCAGAAATCACCAGCTTGGAGGCCCGGCTCCCGCTGGCCGCAGGCTGAGACCGCAGCGCCTGCAGGAGACGGTCCCCCGCCTGCCGCTTCCATCAGCCCCGAGGTGGGCTTGGGGTGAGGAGCGGGCCCCTCACAGGGGCGCCCCACTGGCCGCAGCCGCCTAGAGCACCAAGACCACTGGAGAGAAGCAATAACTCACCAAAGCTGGACCCCTACCCCGTCCCACTGTCTGAGGGTTTGCGTCCTGTCCCTCGTTTCGTCCCCGACGCTGGAGGCCGTCTTGGGCCCAGCTTCCTGCACCTGTCCGGGGGCTGCTTTGTAGGAAACGCAGGGGACACTAAGAACCCACCTTCACTGGCCAAGCAGGCACTGCCTGCTTGTAGCAGCGTGGGCCCCTGCTCTGGGGACAGCTTGGGTTCTTTCTAGAAGTGTCCCCTCCCCACTTTGTGGCACGTCTCACCCAGGGGCTGTGTTCTCCCAGAAAGTGCGGTCTCGGTCCGTGTGAAGCAGCGCGGTGACCCCCAGCCCACAGCTGCCTGGACTCAGAGGCCAGGAAGCGAGGTGGGCCCGAGGCCCCGATCCCCTCCAGCCCCCACCCACCGCGCTCCCACAGCTGGCTGACGTTGGCAGGAGCGCTGCCACGAGAACTTTGTGAGGACCAGAGCAGACGTGCAGGCCCGCGTGACCCCCAGCAGGTAAACCGCACAGCCCTGGCAAGGAGGCGGGTGCGTGGCCGGTCCCCAGCTCCAAGCCCACCCGCCCTCCCCTCCCGTGTCTCTTTTAAGTCACTTCTGTCCCAAGTTTCAGTGTCAGTCCGCACTCACCTTAATTCACAAGGCCTTTCTCTACATCTGCACAGCTCGAGTGCCAAACCTGCGAAGTACCTTCTGCCTTTCTCAGCGTGCTGGCCGCCAGGCCCCCGGCAGCACGGCCCCCACGTCCGGGATGCGA